CAACTTTGATGCCTATCACCTGGTTGGGAAATGTATGAGCTCAGGGGAATATAGAGCTTAGTAAACAATCCATATCCCACTGTCTGACTTCGTCATTCATTTAAAATAATTTAATATGTGCGATGCAAAGTTGGGTTTTGAGAAATCTTTTGGTTTATGGTTGTTTAGCTCCCTTCCATTTCTAGTAAAAGTGTGTGTTGAAGAGGTTTGAAGATGAATCCCTCTTGATCAACTGTTGGTTGGCGTTACTGAAAAATTCTGGTTTGGGATGTCCCCCAAAGCGATCTCATTCAGTTTCAGTGAAAATGCATTAAGCTTTCGTCTCTTACATCAGAGCAGGATACCCTAAATATGTGCATTTTGATGAAGCATAAGGTGAGTTGGCTAGTTCAAGTCAAATATCAACCTAGAAGTATGTTCGTGCCTATTTGTACATGCTTATGCGCCTTCATCTGCATGCATACGTGCTAAATCACCGGTGATACCTTAAAGTAATTAATAACAAAGCTATGCAAAATACACAAAATAACTAATAAAGTAGTTAATTAGTAATAGCTCAAAGCAACAGAACGTGTCAGTTGCATCCGATCATCAAGATTTAATGGCCACGATAGAATTCCATCATAGCACACTTTTACTCAAAAGCTCACTAACAAAATTAATTTTATTAGCAGGCGATTTAGAACTCAATGAATCGTAGTATTTAAATCTTCACTGTGAATTTACACGAAGTCCTTCACACTCTTTAACGTTTATGCCATACGCCTCAGCAGCCTCCTTTTTTCTCCTTTCCTCACTTACCAAAAAAGTTCATCAAATAACAAAAAAGTAGTCTGAATTGAATCAGAATTTGCCTTTTTCAGAGTAAGATAGCTCAACGGTCAGCCCTTGATTGTTACTGTTATATTATTATAAATAATGAGGGCAATTATTTAGTGCTTTTACACTTTTATTGCATCATAAATAACTGACATGACCAGAGCATTAAAGATGCAATTTGAGATAGCATTATTTAAACTAAGAATTCTACTCCTATAACTTGTAGACATCGTGAAAATTTAAAGAAGCAACTTAATTCATTTTTGGTGCAGAGGCTCATCTCGTTTTGCTATTTAGAGTTGGTTTTGCCTTGTTTTCGCAAAATAAACACTCCTTCAGAGAGCCTTCGAGGAGCATACGGCATATTACCTCATTTACTATTGTTGTCAGGTGCTTATCCAGTACAGAATCGTCGACTGGATAGATTCCCAACCTTTGCGCAGACGACGTCGGTAAGAACCGAGCTAAGGCCAATAAGTTGCCTTGCAGTTTGCTGCTGTTTGTCGTAGAAGCATATGACAACATTGGCACGCTTAACTCGCCAACATAACTCTGCAAAAGCATAAATACAGAATGTATGATTCAGTTTTTTATCCACACGATCGCGGCTATTTCCAGCATAAAACGTTGACTCGATGCATTCCCAGACGTCTCGCAGACAGCATACTCTACGAATGAGCCCATTATTTGATTAAATTTTCAACGAAAGTTTGTAGCATCTCTCCCTTTGTTGAGCTCTCTCCCATTTCGAGTAAAAGTGTTTTGTGAAGAGATTCGAAATTCGATCCCACCAGAAGAAGACGCTGCTTCTGAGGTAATCTCCTTCGATTCCGGTGAAAACGTGCTAGGCTTTCGTCCAGCGGTGAGTTTTCTTCATTTGTTAGCTTGAATATGGTTGTAAGGATGATATTCTACTTTGATGATGTCAGTCATACAAAACTCTGCATATTTTCACTGGAATTGAAAGAGACTGCCTCAGAAACAGCGCCAATAGTAATGCTTCAGTAAAGCCCATCGAGAGCTGGTCAAGAGGAATCTACCGTCGTCTTCCGGTGGGATCGACCTTCGAATCTCTTCACCAAACATTTTAACTCAGCATAGAAGTAAATTCAGAAATATGAAAAAGAGATTCCTCTGAGCCAAACCTTTTTTTGCGTCTCTCCCTTTTCCATTCGGATGCATTTTTCCACCCATAAAACCGTATCCATGACAGTAGACAGATTAAACTTTTTCCTTTGATAGAATATAACTCTTATCGATGTTTGGAATGAGCATGACAACTGTGGCCTTAAACGCATTAGGGTTTATGCACTTCGAAGTCTTCCTGGCACCACGAACAATTTGCCAAAACGAGGTCGGCTAGAGTATATGCAGAGAAATTCTTCTAACAAACGTAGAGCCACACCATTTCTTGCTTTTCTTTTTCATGTGCTTCTTTCTTTTCTGAGTCGGGATGAATGAAGCACATTCTGAATTGTCGCATTCCGATTACCCTATTCTTAAACATTATTTCCAGGCTCTGCAAACCCGAGTCCTCTCATCGGCTCCGAGCCAACATTTGCAACTGCTGACCGGGATTCCCGCACCGACGGCCACCACGAGTTATCAGATGGCGCTGGAGCCAGCAGTGCTTCTGCAGAGGCACCAGCAACTTGAGATTCGGCTCTCCAGCCTTTGCTCGGCAACGGCTCGTTGTCGATCTGAGGTGAATCTGACGCTGCGCCTGCTCCGTGCAGTGACCGACGCCGAGGCCAGCCTCTCACAAGTGACCATCTACCTTGGACGAGCTCAACGACACTTGGATCTGTTGGACTCACGTACTGGCCCTAGCAGACAAGAGGCGGTACAAGCGACTCGGGCCGATCTTGATGAGCAGATGACGCGTGCTCATCTTCTTGTCAACACGCATGTACCTTCGCTAGAACAGTTGGCCACAAAGTTCTCAAGTGAGTACTTTGACCTTTTTCGTTTGGTTTCAGAGATGCTCTTGACTGGTTTGTTTCATGAAGCAGTGAGACGACGGAAAGCTGGACGGTTGAGTTATCCAAAATGGAATGAGTAACTAAAAATTTAATTTAGACATGCCTCCCGAAGTGCAGTCTTGACCTTGTCTGGGGTATATTCGTACCCTTGGCGAGATTTAAAACCGGCTAAGCGGTCTTATCAACTCAGAACAAATATGATTTAGAAAAGTATCGGTATGTCCGGAAATGTATCTCTTTCCTCGAACCCACAGACTATTGTAGTTGTGTAGACGAGTGACTAACTTTTCCCTCTCGACCTGCTTAGTGTATGTGCGTATGTGTGCGAGCAAACTTTAGACAAGCCCAAGTGAAACAGCGCTCACTGCACTGTAAACAACTCACCTATCCGGCTTTCGATCAGACTAAGTGATCCAAGATGACTCGGGTATTTATTCACTATCTACGAATAGCTTCAAAACTAGCTTGTAACGGCTTCGATTTAAAAAAATGGAACATTTGACCAACGGCCTCACAAAAAGGATATAGTAAATGTGAATTATTTGCAATCGACCTCATTATTCTATTCATATTGAGTAGATTTTCGTACTATTTGTAGATCTATAATGAGAGGTTAAAGCGCCATAAGTTAAATAATTTGCCAAAGAGCTGATACTTGAATTTTCGTTTAAAAGTATAATTGTATGTCGGAAATTGTGCAAGAACTCTCTCTGACTCTTGGATAAAAGTAGGAAGAGCATGAGAGGACAGGGCGAATCACCGAGTTGAAATCTGGTTTTGGCTCTATCATCTCTATTGAAATAAGGGAATTGCACACATACAACTCATTTTCAAGCGCACATTTGAGCATGTTGTAATGTAGCAGGCTCAAACTATAGTTTATTTTATAGAATTTGTTTGACCTTGTATTCGCAACTTGGTCATATTGGTGGGAAGACCTAGAGAAACGCACCTAGTCAGGAGTCCATTGTATGCATGATCATTCCCAAAGTCGGACCGTGGACGTGGTACATAAAAAAAAACTTAGATACGATCACCAAGGTGTTGTTGCCTCTATTTTTGTTGTAGTTTGGATGTTGTCTGACCTCGTTTTTGCAACTTGATCGTGTTGTTAGAGCGACATTATTTGGACACACCCTGTCCGAAGTCCTCTGCTATAGTAGTTATCATATTTCCAAGCGTCAGAAGATGGACTTGGTACATTCTCAGACGTTTCACCGACATCGTCAGTGAGTCTTGTCAGTCTTAACACACAACTACAACTCGGGTCTATAAGGCAGATCCGAATAGGAGGCTTAAGTCGGATTAGCAACTCGAAGAGGGGGGCAAAGGAGAGGGCAGGTGTGTTGACGCCACGTTAAATTCGCTAAAAGGGCCCACCTTCTGAGGAGTGGAGGCTAAACCAGTCAGAAGTTGAGATGGGGCGAGAGTAGGACTAGAGGGTAGTGAGTAAATAGAGGGGCCATGACAGAAAGATGATTGATGGCACAAACGTTTGGGAAGAAAGTTGAAGATATGAAGACTAAGATGTTGTGGCTTCTGGTATGGTCGCAGTCTCCTTTCGATTTATAAAAGTTGGTTGACCTCGTTGTCGCAACTTGGTCTTGTGGTCAGGGCGACTATTTAGAACGAACCTAGTCCGAAGTGGTCTGTCATAGTGGTTGTCATGATTCCCAGCATCAGACAGTAGACTTGGTACATTCTCAAACATTTCGCCGGCATCCTCAGTGAATTTTGCCATTCGCCACACCAAGCTACGAACACGTCAAAGAGACAAGTGAAG